ATTGTTGGGTCATACCTTATTCTCTCAGATAAGGGGGGCAATTGAATGGAACTAATCTGTGGTTGCAAACAATGAGATTAAACAAAAGAATGGTTAGATGCCTGAGAAGTCAGGCAGCCAGCACAGGGACGAGCGCATATAATGAGTTATGACTGATGATCTTTGACACAGTGGCTCTGGTGGCAGAAGAGGCCTCCAAATGACTTCCATTGCAGGCCATATGCTGGGGATCAGAGGGATTGCTGCTGCTGACCCTCCCCCACTATCTACTTCCTGTTTTTCATGGTTGTCTGCTTGCTTCTGCCTATACAATACCAGCTGTGTCTGGAGACATTCCAGCTCGTACTATAGCCACTGCTGCCCTTATAACACCATGACCGTTGGCAATGGAGCCAATAGACACAACAGTGTAAAGACAGATTGCACTGAAGCCTCTCCGCTGCTGCATCATCTGAGATCTGCTAATCAGGAGGCTGCTCCACTAAAGGCCTTTTGAAATGCTTTAGTTCTCCAGCTTCAGTGGACTTTTTTGTTATACTGTGCTGATATTGTTATTGTACCCTATATTGATAGTAACTGCAAACTAGTCGAGTAAAGGGAAACACTTGATATAAAATGTATATTAACATGGTAACAGTGTGATAGAAAAGAATGTGGTACATGTAAATATACCATAGAGCATGTTGGTTATATTATCTTCCACATATTTAAAATGTACAACATTTGCTTGATAAAAACATATATTTTTTTACTGACAAGGAGCCAAAACCAAACATATAGTAACGTTTGAGAACTTGAATGCAATCTATAATTTTACTCCACTACATATCAGGGGGTAATATTACATGTTTAACTCGATTACATTTATCTCACAGCTATCGTTACTATACACTTTGCAGATTGAAATTTTACACGTCGTCAGTTTATTAAATAGGATGCCTTGTTATAGATGAAACTATCCAATAGTATATAAAGCAGCGCAAAATTAGCTATACCTTAACCAACTACTGCAGTACTGCTTATATTTGAATGCTTCAGTAATACTGATACTAATATAAATAATAATAATATTAATTATCAGTGTAACAAAAGCATCACAAAGCAAATTTGTTCGCAGGTTTTAGGATTTAACAAACAGCTGTAATGAAATTCACAAGAGCATATAAAATGACTACATACACAAAATATGCATTTCTTCATGAATAAAGCATTATGTGCAGTTAGAACATGATCCTACAGTGACCTCTAGTGGTAAGGTGGAAAACATAACCCAGGCAGCACCACCTTCTTCTGAAATGGTTTTTTTTTCCCAGCTTGCAAGGTGGGTCGGACCCACAGCTATGTTCTTCAACCAGAACCGCAGCCTGTGTTACACTAACTAATACAGATGACCTTGGTGATGATGGGCTTGTTGCAGCCATCCCACTGACACTCATCAAAATTTCTCACAGCTCCACAGGCCACTCCACAGTAGGAGTGTGAGCTGTTGTTCACACACAAACTTCCACCTTCATTCATCAGCCTGCTGTAGGGCAGACGATGGAGGACCTGGAGACCTGCACTGAAGATCAGAACAGTATGTTTCAGTAATGACTAAATGAGAAAGAAAGAAAAGATATATATTCTCTCAAACACCCTCTTTTCCCGTAACTGGAAATGATTTACACTATATCAGGTCATCATATAACAGATGCACTAAACAGAAACAGAAATTGGTTAATAAGGAATAATTTCACATTTCAGTTATAAAACTATATGTAGTTTTATAGTAAGTTTAGTAAAGCAAGTATAAAAAGGTAGGGGAGAGGTCTCCCTGTTAAAAAATAACAGGGATAATAAAATAAAAGTTAACTGTTACTTTTCCTCCCAGTAGTAGTTCAGAATCACTGTCAGGACTCACTTCTGCGAGGAAGATGCTAGCTGTCTTCCTACTCGTCATAGTAATTATGTCCTTAAAAAGTAACCTTTATCACCTTATTTGCGCTGAGACTATAAATAAGCCTGATTGGAGTCTGAGTAGCTCATAGGCTGGGAGCTTATCTACTCATTCTGAAGTGTGAAGAAGCTTAAGTCAGTGTTAATACACCTACATGAACATGACTGAAGTGTATTTACCAGCAGTAAAATGCCATAGTGGACAAATCCTCCATAACAAATAAAAACCCTGTGAACTAAATGGTACTCAGGTATGAGCAGTGGAATGTCGTTTAAAAGAGCTCTTTAAAGCACTGTGTGCAGAAGAGTTTAGTTCAGATGTGGGATGGGATTTTTTATGCTTTCTGGGTCAGTGGAGGAATTATATCCTCAACAGGGTTTGATAATGTCTATAATGTCATCAAGCTTCCTCAAAAATTGGGGAATTATAAATATCATCAGCAAAATGTACTTAAAGTATCAAAAGTAAAAATCCTCATTATGGTGAAAATGGCCCCTGTGAGTGTTACTATAAATCATAGTCTTAAGTTATGATTACAGTTGCATTATTATCTGAGAATATTTAAATATTGTAGATGGTGGAAGCGGAGATAATCCTAACTAGTCTATATTGTTAGTATTAATAATAATCAATCATATTGATTTTTTGTATCTGCAAAGTAACTATTAAATATAAATAGTCCAACATTGTACTTAAATAAGAACTTAAAGGTCCAGTATGTAACATTTAGGAGGCTCTACTGACAGAAATGGAATATAATATGTATCAGTATGTTTTCTTTAGTGTATAGTCACCTGAAAATAAGTATTGTTATGTCTTTGTTACCTTAGAATGAGCCTTTTATATCTATCTATAGACGCTACAGGGTGCCTTCTATAGTGCCTTCCTGCTAGGTTTCTACGGTAGCCCAGAATGGACAAACTAAACTTTAGATCGCTGTAGATAGAGCGTTTCCCATGAGTTCTGCGGCCACTGTAGTTTCTCCTACACAATTCACAGTCCGTTTTCATTCCCAGGCCATCAAATACATCATGAGAGGTGTTCAGTTAGTTGCAAACTCCAACTTCACCACTAGATGCCACTAAATCCTACACACTGGTCCTTTAAGTAGTAACTACATTGAGCTAACTACAGCTGTCAGATCCCTTACACTGTGCACTGAGGGAGGATGTCATTTGTGTAATAAAAGCAACATGTACCTCCACTTAGGCAGTTTGAAACAATAGGACCACCTGTCTGATTATGTGGTGTTCCTGCTTAATTGCACTGTAATGAATGACAAGTAAGCTGTGATCACACACTCAACTTTAAATAACTAGAGAGTGAGCAACTTCCAACAGTATCTCTGGACTGGGAAGCTCCTGCACTGCAAAAACAGCCCTTCTAGAAACAGGCCAAATATTGGTAAATATAAACAAATTTTCTTGCATTGAGCAAAAAAATCTGCTGATGGGGTAGACCATTTTTGATTGGCTTATTAAAACTAGCATACAAATTTAGCCACTGAAAGGCCATAATGGGCTGGAAACAAATGCCAACATTTTCAACAGAAAATAAGTATTTTGGTAATTGTATAGAGCTGAACTCAAGAATTTGTACATTGATCTAATAATTAGCAAATAAATCTTCCAATAAGATACAATTTATTCAAACAGCATAATAAAGTGACTTAAATGAAGGCACCAGAAGCATTCAAACCTAGACAGCTACTGCTCAATATTAGTTGTAATATCTTACATCCTAATTTTTTTTTCTTCAAAATTCTCAAAATACAAAATAAGATCACTTTACTAATGCAAAACATGCTTTTTTTTTTAGATAAAGAATAAGACTCATTTCCCAGAAACAAGGCTGCTTTGCTTTCTTGACATTCCTTTTATGTAGTGTGAGGTATCATAGGATTTCCAAGCCCCTGAAAACTTGCCTACATATAAGAAATATTTTAAATTCTACATTTTACTTCTTTTCTGCTTTTGCAGGCATGTTACTCCATTTCTTTTGTGTGTGTAACTGCCACCAGAAGGTGGTGGCTACGTGCTGACTATATGTCTCGGGCGGTAAGCCGTCCACGAGCCGGGCATATCAAACTGTTTATTGCCCTGCCTCTCGGTGATTATCCCTTACTTAAACTGCTGACCAGTGGACCCAATGAAACAGAACAATCAGCAGTGCTGTGTACATGTCACCTTTGTGCTCACTCCATTCTCTTCGTCTGATTTCAAGGGGAATCTGATTGAATCTGGCCTGGTGGCAGGCAGTAAGAATACCAGTAACTATATAGAAATAGCCAGTCTTCTTGCTGATGCTCTGGTTTGTTGATGGAGGCATCTCTATTAAATCACAACCACTTAAAAACTCATATCAGTAGGAATAAATAAGCAACTATATAACTAACTATCTATTAAGAATTTAACACTGAAAAACTGGCTAATCTGCGTCATCAAGACTGTTTGGCTGTGATCAGACAGCTGTCATCAGATTCTGATTGAAATATTGTACAATTCTGATTGGTGCACAGGCCCACATGACATCAACCTTTTATAACTGAGTCTCATAAACTTCATACCAGTGAGATAAGCACAGAGAAAAATTGAAACAATCAACACTTCTACAGAAAAAAATGTGTCTGTGGCCCAACAAATTAATACAAATAAGTATTCAGTACTTGTTGTTTTTTAGTTTATTTTTTTTTATCTTTTGTTCTCTCAACAGCAGTAGGAGTGGACTGTTTATCCCTTATATTATATTATAAAACTGCAATTCATGTTATGAAAGAATAAAGAGAAGACTTTTTGTAACATGACCATGGTGGAAAACATTTACTCCAAAGCATAAAAGACAAAAAGAGACAAATACTTCACCAAGATTATCAGGCAACAAAAGCAGGCTGAAGCTGACGGACTCACAAACAAACAAGGTAACATGAAATTAATCTTCTGATAAGACACAAACGCACCTTTCTGTTCAGCCCCTAGGCAAAAACATCACCGTCACACCCACAACTGAGTGACTGGTTGGGACGTTATTACTGACTGACTGTATACTGAGGTGATAAGAGCTGGGTTTCAATGGCCTGAACCTGAACCTTGCTCCCTGTGAGAGTTTCACAGTCTCAGGTGGAGTCCTGCTGTTTCAGGAAATGAAGCTTTGCTCCAGTCCACACACCACAGCGGGAGCTCTCACACAGTAAGTTTATTTAACTGAAGATGTTGTTACTTCTGAGGAATATTTAGTTACGTAGGCAAAGATTTGACCTGCGATTTATAAAAGTCGCATGTTTTGATATTAACACTAGCCAAGTATGAAAAAGCTATAAAAGTGTAAAGACAGCATGTTCCAAGATGAAACTGTTTGCCTCTGCAGTGAGGAAGTAACACCATGGATGAAACTGGATAATATAGGTTTTCCTATTTTTGTAATATATTTATTTTGCTTGACTGAATGATGGAATGGTTAAAGAACAGAAATAAGCTTGTAGAATTCATTTAAATTACAAAAAATCATTCTACGCAGTGTCAGTGTCTAGAAAAGGAAATGGCTCTCTGTCCAACAATCAAGCTAAGCTGATAGAGGATGTCATCAACATTTTCTTGATGCCCTGTCCTCTGAGAAATTTGGTCTTGTGTTATTTAAATGAAGTTGAACTCCCACTGTAGAGCCTGAATGCCCACTGTGGAATCATTTCCTTTACAGTAAGGTACAAATCCAGTGACATTTTTTCAAGTCAGTTTATTATTATTACTAATTAAGGCATGTAAAATATGTGAAAATCCCTTCTTTTGATTTTGTCAGTTTCCACAGCAGATTTTGTAATCCACCAACAGAAAACAAATGTGTGGGGCTTTTCCTTAACATACTAAATATAGTCCGCATTAAAGGGTTAACTTCTTTTGGCATCTTTTCTTGTACCTATTAAATCATAAAGTCACTTTCACTGACATTAGCCTTCAACATCAAATACTTACTGATTACCCTGGTGTTGGGTACAAATATTATTGGATACAAATATTATTTTAACTTCATGAACCAAATGCACAAGAGCCTTTTCTGAACATTTCTGAACAGGACAAGAGATTTTGCTGCAAAATCTCACAGCTGTCTCTCTTTCATCTTTCAGGATAACAACACTAGCATGGCTGTTTCCTGGAAATCACTGCCTAACCTCCTCTGCATCTGTTTATTACTGTGTGCAACTGGAGGTCAGCATTCATGTTTTAAATACTTGTATATAATAAGTAGGATCCTGCTGAAGTGAACAGAATGTAAAAGAAATATTTGCAATTTGTTGTCTGAATACGAAATATAGATTTCCTCCATTGTGTAAAATGTATACGTTTCATTCTTAATAATAGCAGTTTTAAAAGACCTGTGAGGTAAGTGGTGTGACAAGAGGAATAAATTAAACTTTAATGATCCCTATGGGGAAATGAAAATGCTTAAAACCCTTATATTTACTCGGGATGTAAATGAATCAACTGAAATAACTGCGAGGAAATTCAGATGTTACTTGAGCAGTGCAATGTTAGCAATGTTAGTGCAGGTTAACTTAACATTGTGTCCTTCCTAGTCGTTTGCTTCCCACTTTTCTCTCAACTAATGTTAATGGTTTTTAATTTGCAAATCAAGTCAGAGCTGTGATTGGGAACTCAGGGAGAGTACCTTAAGAGTAACCTTTCTGAACACCACAGCAGGTCAAACATTATCCTTAGTGTTGCCTTGAAGGGAAAAAAAGCTGAAGCAAACCAAACGCTCGCAAATCCAATCTATCATTCTCATCAAAATGCAAACAGTCTTGGTCATTTCAGACACAGCTGACTGTTTGAGAGACAGAAGAATACTTTTCCTTCTGCTTACTCTTAAAGGAGGCAACAATCGCAAGACAACATCCAGGACAACGTTCATGAGCTCTGCCTCAACCTTTGTGCTCGACAAGAGAAGGATTAGTATAGATGAATGTTGTGTTTGAGTTTCAGTCTTGTCAAAAACCAACAAAACAAAACCAGCGTCCTTTGTAATATTTACATGCCTTGGGCAAACTCAAACATGTCTCAAGTACTGATTTGAACAAAGAGCGTTATGTGTGTCCATAACATGAAGGCCTTTTGAATTTATTTTCTCACATTGCATTCCACTGCATTATTTACTAATGGTGTTGCTTAACTTTTGCAATGATGTGACAACCTGCAACGTGCTGCCTATCACACAAAAATCTATGGTAGCCTCCTGACATTTAAAGCAGCAATAATGAACATTAATGATCATTTTTCTGGTGGTAGTGTTTCCACTGCTTTGCTTCATTGATTTTTAGGGGAAGCCGACAGCATTGAAAATAACTATACCATCTACACTGGCTTATAAATGTAGGAAAAGTGGGACGTGAGGCGGGGCCCGAGAGAAAATCTCTGGCATGAGTGTTCTGATTAGAGTTATTAGAGTTTCAGCCCAAAGCTGAGGAACATTTGGCTGATACCACCAAAAGGAACACTTCCCCTTGTCAGCTCAACTCTGACCTCTATTCATCAGTAGCTTTGGCCTTGACCTCTGGATTGGACTTCATTCAGGGAGTCTCTGTGAGGCAGATTTCCAATTAACCAGCCATCTTTCTTTTTAAATTAATCATTTTTTAAGCAATTCCATCCAGTAATTATATACATATGTATATGTATATTAAGTGTACGGATTGTCAAATTCTCAGCACAAACTCGCTCAGGGTAAGTGATGCCAGTTTGTGCATAGTAGGTGCCCAAGTATTAAAATGACTTACATTGTGTGACCAACAGTAAACACACATACAAAGAAAATCACACAATCAAGAACATTTTCCAGCAATTAAATAAACTTTACATGATTTATTTTCACTAAAATAAATTTTATAATATACATGTTTGTGAGACCTAATATTTATATGCAAAACTTACCAGCAAACCTGTGCTTTTACATATAGGCCTAACTCTCAAACTGAACATTGAACGGGCACTGTACATAATAGGGTAGGTGTTGTATGAAGGTAAAAATAAGCCTGACAATATTCAGTCATCGCAACACAAATGACAAAGCTGCTTCAGTCGAGCAGAAATAGCATTTAAACCCAAATAAAATCCTTAAGTGGCAAGATACAAAGTTCTATTCTATGTCCTCTATCATGAATATAGCTTGTCTCTCATTTCTGCCTGACATGTTGTCTCTTTTGTACTCAGTGGTGTCACAAAAGTTCCAGCTGGAACCGCTTAACGCAACAGCGCTAAAAGGCTCTGATGTGCAATTCAACGCCACTGTGGAGGGAGTATGGCAGGTCATGGCCTGGAGTGTCGGAGGGTTGCTGGTCCTCACTGTGTCTTCCACCGGTGACATAACATCCTCATCCCTTAAGCAATATTCTGCCAGATTATGCTCCAGTGGTGACAGCCGGTGTGTGGAGTTCACCATCCATAACGTCACCCGCAGGTACTCCGGCCCAGTCACCTGCACTGTGCAGGGAGAGTATGGCTCAAAGACGGCGCACCTTTCTGTACAAGGTGAGGTCATTAACATCTATCTGGCTGCAGTTGTATATGTGTAATGACTTTGTGCAGTTTGGTGTTGTAAGAGACACATGCTGCTTTGTAGCTGTTGCTTGACCTCTGACCTCACTGTGGATGCAAAAACACAGAAAAGGAAAAGGAGGTGGGTGCCTGGTTAGCTCAGTCGGTAGAGCTGGCGACCCATGTACAGAGCTGCGGCAGTAGCCCAGGGTTTGAATCCGACCTGCGGCCCCTTGATGCGTGCTACCCCCACTCCCTCTACCCACCCTTCCTGTCTATCTTTAGCTGTCTCTATGAAATACAGGCAATAAAAGGCCAAAAAAAAAAAAGGAAGAGGAAGTTCCCTTTAGGGTCTCAGTGATGCTGAGGTGTATGCACACAGCACTCACCCAGACACCAGGGCTCATTGTTAAAACTCAGCTCAATATTTCAGTATTCACACTATAAAAAGGCTCTCAGTAGAGTTGTGAGGGAGGTGTAAGGACTGGGATGTACTCTGGGGGGCAGCAGTGAGCTCCATTCTTCTGTTCCTTCAGCAGCCTCTGGAAATAATAATCTAATGACAAAGAATAGCTGATGACAAAGGGAGACCAAAAACACTTTGAAGCCAGAATGAAATGTATAGTACTACTTTCACAATAAACTTAGTGGATGACAGTATTTTATATGGTTTATCTTTTATGATGTTATATATTCACATATTAACGCACACACACACACACACACACACACACACACACACACACACACACACACACACACACACACACACACACACACACACACACACACACTTGCCTGTCATCCACTGCTGCTAGCATGATATTATGGCCAGTCTAGGGCTCATTATCTCCCCATCACCCTTCAAATGGGAGCTGTGTTACATGGAGAGAACTTTGTTCATTACAGGCAACTTAAAGTGTTCATCCATACTGAAAGCAGATGGAGAACTATGCCGGAAAGAGTGAGGGCAGCCTAATAAAACTTTTACAACCTGTATGACGGTACTGGAATTCAAACAAACATACAGGTGAGCAAAAGAACAAATACAAAAAAGCTCTTTTTCTCATTATTATAATGATAATGAGTATGTCATCTTTTAATGGCTGGATAATCACCACAATGTGTTTTTTAAAGCAGTATGAGTGGAACAATTCAAATAGCTATAAACGTCATTGAAATGTTGATTAAATGATTAACACCATATGATCCCTGGCGTCAAAACCCACCCATAATACACTTTGCCACAAGCCTTTGGATATCACATGCAACTATCGTTCCAAAATCGAGAAAATGATTGGATTTTGATATGAAAATACAAAGAAATTGAGTTATTTGTTTTGCATACATTGTTAAATAGTGGTGCAATATAACTGATGTTTAGCAGATATATAATTCCTTGTTAACTATTTAGTCTATTAGCATGCTAATATCTGCTAATTAGCATTAAACACAAAGTCAGCTGAGGGATGATGAGTATCATGCCAGGATGATGGGGGAAAACCCAGAAACACTGATCACCAAATTTATTACAATAAATCCTGAAGGAAATGTCAATGTCTGAGCCAAATTTCAAGGCAATTCCTCCAATAGTTGTTGAGACATTTCACTCAAACCACATATGTCAACTTGCTGGAGGTGCTAAGAAAAGTCAGGGAATCACCACAGTCATTAGGATTCATTCTCTGGGAACATGTCTGCACGTAATGATGTGTCAATCCACCAGCTAGTTCTTGAGCCAATTTTCTGGATATGTGTAAAGCAGGTTTGGGTGGGTTACTTTAAAAATATAATCCAATACAGTTAGTTTGTTAGTGTATAATCACCTGAAAATAAGAAATGTTGTGTTAAAGGCCCCTTAATCCTACACACTGCTCATTCATTGTAGAGAAGCATCAGACATATGAGCATAGTTGTGCCAATGTGTTATGCACTCTGCAGTTAACAACATCTTGTAATGTCATGAATATGTATGTGACTGCAGGGGTGTGTACAGTTTCGCAAACACTGGCTTGTAAATGTAGGAAAAGTGGGACATGTTTTGACATCAGATGCTCAGAAATGTAGATGTGGGGCCTGAGAGAAAATCTCTGACGGGAGTGTTTTGATTGGAGTTATTAGAGTTACTGCCCAAAGCTGAGGAACATTTGGCTGATACCACCAAAAGGAACACTTCCCCTTGTCAGCTCAACTCTGACCTCTATTCATCAGTAGCTTTGGCCTTGACCTCTGGATTGGACTTCATTCAGGGAGTCTCTGTGAGGCGGATTTCCAATTAACCAGCCATCCTTTTTTTTAAATTAATCTTTTTTTAAGCAAGGGGTACTGAGCACATCCCCAATAAATACTTGTCTCTGTGAGGCAGTTTTCCAATTAACCAGCCTAAACCGAGGCCCCACACAGCAGTATGTAAATATAACCAAATTCTCTATATGCTCCCCCTCCCCCTCGTGCGCAAACAGCTAAACATGACTGTAACCAGAGGGTAATCTCACTCTGGAACATCTGGGCTCCAGTCACTGGCTGTGAATGGATATTGATTATTAAAGTGTTGGAGCCCCATCTAACACTGCTGATTAGGACTTCCATGATTACAGACATATTCTCCTTGCATGTAGTAAAACCTGCAGCCAAAGCTAATAAATCCACTTAATAGACCTGCCAGTTGAGCGCATTGATTGCTTTTCTGCAAGGGTCTGTTAATGAGGGAAACTGATACTGTTTAACAACAAACTAAAGAAAGTTTCATATAAAAGAATACAGGTTTTTGAGATTGTCTCAATATTCTGGCTGATGTCAGGAATGCTGAACGTGAAAATGATCCATGTGTTCCCTTGTATCCATGCTAACACTGCAAACAATAAATAGCAGTATTTAAAGTATTACTTTTATTACTGTTATAATAGTCTTATTATATGTTCTAGAGATCTATAAATATGCATTAATGTAGCTGAGGAATTTCAGTTTATTACAGGCAAACAGTTGTGCTGTATTCCTGACTCAACCTCTCCTCCATCTCTGTCTCTCAGAGAGTGGAACGGTCAACATCATGGAAGGGAACGTGACAGTGATGCAGGACGAGCAGGTGGAGTTCCGGTGCATAACATCTGCTTGGTTCCCCATCCCCACAGTCAGCTGGACCCAGAATGGTCAAGCTGTGAACAGCAACCTGTACAACACAACCAGCATGGTTGATGGGGATTCCTTCAACTCCACCAGTGTCCTGAATTTCCAGGCAGTCAGAAACACCACAGTGGAGTGTTGGGCGACTGTGCCCACGCTAACAAACCCACAATCCAGCTCTGTCTTATTGGTGGTTGGTAAGAAGGCACAAACCCTCCTCCCAGCCTCTCTTCCCTGTACACTTTCAAGTTTGGAAAATACCACTGATTTGTTGCTCAGTTAGTTGCCCATTAAGTGTAGGATATGAAAGTGTTGTTCTTTGGTTGCCCCAGTCTACTGCTATGCTATGGGGGTGCTACCGTCATTACATGCTCACAAAGACAATCGTTACATGTCTATGTTCAGCAGGTGAAATGTCTACCATGTTACTCAGTACAGCTGAGGTCATTAGCTTTGCAAGTTTTTAGTCATAAACCAAGTACTGGAGGGGTCAGTCTGCACCAAAGTCTTGAAGCAAACAAACAACGTAATGGCTTTAACAAACAATTAAATATTACTTTCTCAATGCTGAAAAAGGGGTGACATTTTACTGCTTTGATGTAATTTCTTTTATACCTCTCTATGGCATCACTGTGCATTTCCATGTCTTGGAAATGTCTGAGAATCCACAAATAGACCCTCTCTGCTCTCGACATTAACATATGACCTGTGTAACTGAAGAATAATTGGATAAAATCAGCTTTTAATTGAATAAAAAACCCATTTAACACATACTGTATAGAAATTACATTAACAGCAGCAACCCTGTGAGTGTCTGGTTTCAACCCGAGATGTGCACACAGATAACATAGACAACATGGGAGTGAAAGAGTCCTGCAGCAAAGAAAGCCAATTTTGATGTGTAAGAGAAATATATTTTATTTGGACACAGTCTGGATGGGCATGGTATGTTAATGATAAAGGGTTATGGCTTTTATTTAAGCAGCACCGTTTCTGCTACTACAAACCAAAGTATGGCTCATATGTTAAATTAGTTTTTTCTCTCATTTAGCATTCTCTATTCAGGCTGTAATGATGCTATAATGATCCTTCTCCATAAATTTCACATCTAAACAAAATGTGTCAGAGAAAATAGAAATGTATGTGCTACATATGTTGGTGCTTCCAGTGTTTTCACTGTACAGTGTGTTCTAATAACATAACTGAAGTGAATATTGTGCTTCTGTTGTTGTATTGTTTGTGTTAGGTATATCTAGCGGACAGTTCATTTTACAATAAGAAGCTCTTTTGAGTTTCCCATTCTTAATTCTGGTCTTTCCTGTAAAAGTTCCCAAGCCTCCTGACTGGACTGTGCTGATAGCTGTGGTCGTGTCTTTTACAAGTTTTGCTCTGCTGGTTTTGCTCATCATCGGAATCATCTTCTGCTACAAACGCAGGAAAGAAAAACGTAAGCCCCTCATTATAGCAGTCTAACACAATTTACACCTCTTAAAGATTAATTTATAGTTAATTCTGGCTCTATTTACAAGTACTTAAAGCAAACCACTTACATAGGCCTCAGAAAATTGCTTCATTAAAGTAGCTACGAGGAACTATTTTTGTTGATTCTTGACAAACGCTGTTGTGTTTCTATCGCCTCATTTTAGCTGAATTTGAGGGAAATCCAACCGAATCTGACCCAGTGGCAGACATTAAGAATAAATATATAGAAATAGTTAATCTTCTCACGAATGGTCTTGTGTGTTTATGTAGGTCATATAGAAGCATCAGCATTCAATTGAGACTGACTGATAACCACCTAAAAACTCCTTGTAGTACATTAACTAATTTGTTATCTCACAATCCCCTCCAGAACGCAACTACCAAGATGAAATGAGGTAAGAAATTAGGAGTATTTTATTACTACGTCTTCATTCTTCCTCTACAACAGCATGTCCTTCCACATGTTTCTACACACAGTAAAATTCTCTGTTGTTATTTATGTTTGTTTGCAGCAGGAGAGTGAGGACACAGAGCCAGATAAGTGGTGTCAGTGCAGCTGGACAGAGACAGGGTCAAGTGAACACAGGATATGTACCAGACGGTCAAACAAGTAAGACTGATAAGGGCACGTACACAAACACTCACAAGCTTTAAATGAATCCTCTATCCCTGCTGTACCTCGCCAGTATCTACCTGTGACTCTTCTTTCTGTCCACAGGTGTCACTGACAGTGGCTTTTCCCAGATAAATGGCTCCAATACGTTTGAGGTAGGATTATGATGTTCAGTAAAATGTTAGCATGCAGTGGTGTGCTTGGACACTTTTAGGTCATGGGAGTGAGATTAAAAAGGCACCTCTGTGACAGAGATAATGTGTTTTTTGGACATGATATTTCAGGGAAGATAACAAAGAGCAAAGATGTGTCACAACGGCCTTCTTCCGTGCCTTTTTGGCCAGGGACTGTACACAAATAATTAGCAGGAGAGCAGAGAAAGGTGTTTTTATTCCTTAACACCACACATTTATATTTGAGTACTTTTCATTCATGGAAAAACATAATACATCGGGCCCCCGCCCTGTGTTCTAAACAGTGACATGTAAGTCTTGCATATTTAGTTGACCCAAAATGGACCAGCAGTATTTGAACATTGTCACTTAACTGCTGCTTGACTTCAAGGAGTAAGAATCATTATGAAATGAACTTTAGCGACAGAAGAGGTGCAGGTTTCACAACCAAAATAGTGAGGCAACTAGGTAATTAGGTATGCATTTAGACAGTATTCCATTATTCCTTAGGGTTAGCTAACCCTAACTTACTTCCTTATTGCTTTTGCCATCCTAATTTAATCTTGTGGAGCACTACTGAACAGTGATGGGAATCACGGCGTTATCTTTTTTCAGTAACGAGTAATCTAATTGATTACTCTTCCCATCTTAATAACGCTGTTACCGTTACTGCCAAACAATGCGGCGCGTTAGTATAATTGAAGCAGTTTTTTTTATCAGACCAACTAGATCTCTGAGCCGAGAGGCAAAGACTGTTTTTACTGTTCTTCCTTGGTTAGTGGGCAGTGCACGAGACAAGCGCACAAATGCTGATGATTGGCTGAGGTTGAGTAAAATTTCATGGTAAGCCAATCAGAGGTAGAGTTTGGCGGGTGTTCGAAAGCACACATAGTCGGACACACAACGAACAACACAAGCCAGTCAGTCAACGAGAGACAGGTATGGCGAGTCCAAATAATCCAAAAGTAGCCTTCTCTAAATGGAAGTAGAGCCATTACTTTTCCCTCCAAGAAATGAAAGGAACGAATGTAATGGTGAAATGCACATTATGCTATTATTATTATGTTAGATTGAAAGCACCTCATATTGTTACACTGTTCTACTTTTTCGAGGAAGAAAATACTTGAAGTACAGTATATCTACCAATTGTCTGAAGTTTTTTTTGTTTTATTTGCACTACAAAGAGTGTATATATTTGTTATTTATTTTTGGTGTAGTGCTTAACAAGCATAATTGAATTTTGCCCAGTTGTGGCCTGTTGAGGGGCAATAAATATCAAAAGTTCCAAAACATCTATTGTGTTATTTGTATCGATCCACTATATAAACATAATATCTACATACATGGCATTTGATTGGAGGCTAGTCTCAACTAATTTAGTTAATTTTTGAAAGAAGTAACTAGTAACTCTAACTAATTACTTTTTAAAAGTAACTTGCCCAACACTGCTACTGAATGATGTGCAACAGTGGGTATACCCAGAGCTGACTGAAGAATAACTGCCTGTAGAGCAACATGGCTAAAAATCTTTTGATGTGTCATTTGAAAAGAGCACACAAAAAGCACTGTAGGACACACTTCTAAACCTGTCACTGTATACATTTCAGTCATAACATATACACAAAACAAAACACACAAGTATAAATCAAAAAGTTATCATTCCTCTAGCTCACACTGTCTAATGCGTCTAGAGTACACGAGAGGTGGTGATTTATATAGATCACTGTGCATGGCTCTTACAAATGAAATGAAGAAATTACCACTTGTGAATTTATTATCTTCATAAAGATGCTAATCATGTGTCATTTATCAGCCTTAGCACATGTGGATAATTCATTGGTTGATCATTTAACTAATTAAAGTAATGAATGAGGTGCCTCTTAAACAAATACATTATTCAAGTCCACAATTACTGCCTCGTAATTCCAAGATGATTGCCTTTTCAGTGGGGCAATATAGTCAGAGTTTATGTGTTATTTTGATTTGAAAAAGCACAGAGGGAAAGCCTGGAAAATGACTCTACATTGTTGTAACATTAATATATTTATTTTACATAGCGCTTTAAAAAAACACACTTTTCATGGCAACAAAAAGACAGTAACAAAAACAGCAAAGGCAATATCAGTATATAATTAACTACTACAACAACTATAAAGAGCAAATCTTTGAGAAGCAAATTCGATGCATTATTAATGTCACATTTGTTTTGCTTTTCATTTTTTAGATGCCTAATGCTGTGAACAGTAACCACGCAGGAAATGCCTACATTACTGTGGATGAATCAGGAGTCAGGAAACACAGACATGTCACTATTGTGTAAGGACAGACAGAGGACCAAGAAGTCTGGAACTGTTTGAGTTTTGGGACAAACTTGCACAGTACCTTGAAGTCTTACTGTGGTTTCTAAAGACTGGAGAAATATAGGCAGGAGGACTGAGTCTGCCGGGAACAAAGGCTGATGTACTGCAGGGATGTCGAGGCTGTTGGCAGATGAGACATATATATGGGCCGTGCATGTGGTTCACTGCCTATCTAAAGCTGGATCAGCAGCTGTTAACAATTTGTGTTATTTCTGAATGTGTGTTTTCAGTGCTACAGTAAAGACTTAGTGCTATACATATATACTGGAGCTGTAACTGAGGCTTTACCAGCACAGACTCTCACATGCTAGACTAACAGCACAGAGACTATATTTTTATTGAATGACTTTATCTAGAGCTATATATTTTTATTGAGGCATGATATCATTTTAATTAAATATTCAAGAGGGACCATCTTAAATTTGTGCTCTGTAAATGTATTTAATCCTCCTTAAATGATGTCTGTCTGTTGTCACCTCCACTCAAAAATATGTTGTTCTTCTTGTTCCTACAGTATGATGTTTGAATGATGTATATGCAGATTTTGACACTAGAAGGATGTTTTCACATCCATCTGATGAAATATCCAATAGTCCAATATGCAGCTTATGCAGTGTGACATAGAAACTTGAAGCCACCAGTGCACATCCACTGAGAATGGACTTTACAATGAAGTAGGAGACATCTTGTGTCCAGCAGCAAAACTTTAGAAATGAACAACATTTGCATATTCAGAGATTCTGGAAGTTTTAATGAGGCAGAAGGAGTATAAAGAATCCTTTTATTACATTTTATTACTATTACTATTGTTATTATTATTATTATTATTATTATTATTATTATTATTATTATTATTATTATTATTATCATTGTTATTATTATGTTGCACTGGACACAGCAGGATTGGCTTCCTTTTAGTGCCTTTTTGAACTAAGACTTACGGTCAACATCTCATCAGTTACAGATGTATTTTCTGGATAGCTACACTTTCTGGTGAAAAGGGAATGGGTAGATGGATAATGCATTGGAGAGTGACAAGAACATTAAACTGAAATCCAATTTTTGGATTTCTGTTTTGGTTGATCCTCTGCTCCCCTTACATTTCAACAGGATCCTTAGACCCTACTGAGATGGAGCAGATATTGAATCTGTCTATCAAATCGAGTGAAATGTTTCACACTGACTCACACCACCAAAAAATAATTTTTCACAAAGGAAATGTAGCTTCTTTTATTGCATACATACATACGTCTGAAATGAACTTGCACTGATGACCTGATATTATAATTGTGGTTGGTTAGTGCCACCAGCAGATCAAGTAGAAAACATTCTTCTGGAATATTTCGGCTCTGATCAGTGGAAAGAAATATAACAGTTTAGAGTGGAAACAGCGTTCCGACTTGAATTAAGTTCTGGACAAAAAAAAGTCAGCTTAAAGTCCACATGAAATGGAAATCAGAGTGAATTCCTCATATTTATATTTATATTTATGGAGGACTTTGTGAGGGTAGCAGTAACCAATAGCACATAATGTTCCCCTCAGTCATGCAGCTATGGCAGCCCAATTAGCTGACTCTCCCGGGACTGGCCGGTCCCGGTGAACAGTGCGGCCAGACGAGGACAGTTTGATGACGGGGAATAAAGTACTAAAGTGTGTCTTGGATGTTTTTCTTTTCAGATTTTCCTCTAATCTTGAATGATTTTCCCTGAATAACTTTATTCTTTAAAACTCTAAAATATTAAAATAACATAAAACACTGGTCAGAACTGGAAGATTTATGCAGCCAGTAATGCAGGGTCAGATAAAAACACTGCTTCAGTTTAGGAGATCACAAGCCAAAAGGTTTGGAATCACTGATGTAGCACACTCCAGCATATCTACTATGGAATTGCATTCTAATGCACCTCAGTAGTTCGGATTCAGTCTGACCACCTCAGCATGGTTTTTGCGCCACTGAGGCAGCTGAACTCAGATGACCTTTACTTGGCGAGGAAACAAATTAAACCGGACTTGTTGGCCAAGATGCACCAGTAGGGAGTGGAACTCCCCCTAGTTGAGCTTTTTAGGATCAGATTCAAGCCAGGGTTGGCATTTCTTACTGTGGATCAATTAGGTGATAACATGATGTTCACTGTGCTGTGGCAGAGTTCCACAGTATCAGACCCAGCTAATTAGGGGTTTAATTGAATTCATGATTGGATTTAATGTGACCTTTTTCTAAATAGTCACTGCAAGTCTGAGTGGAGATTTGGAGGGTCTGCCTCTGGGTTATAAGCTTGTAAATGAATGCTTCAGCATACACAAGTTGTTGAAGCCATGGGGCTTCTGTTTGAGCAGTCAGCAGATTCATGATTTTCCTCAGTTCCCGGAAAAGATCACGCAGCGAAAAGGTTCAATCATTCTGACCGTCTTTTTGCCCAAGGCTCACCAAGAGACATGAACACTGAAGGTTCCCAGTGAAACAAGAATCAGTTTAATTGTATTATAATTGTATTCATCAGAAGTTATCCAATTAGAAGAATGACTAACCAACAAATCATCAGCATTGTGAACAAAATGTTTTTAAGGTCAATATAGATTATTATAGTATGTTGATGTGGCTAACTTGTTAACAAACACATGCTTATTTATCAAGATACAGAGCAACTATAAAATGTATTTGGACTTTGTTTCTGGCCACCTGGTTAATGTAAGTCCAATATTCTCCACCTACTCCTGAGAAAAATATCTGGCTCTTCAGCTGAAAAATGCTCAACATTGATCAACAGGTGATGGTGAAGCAAACATGTTGTGGGCTGGAATACCACAATACGAACTACACGCTGAAATGCTTCATGGAGCTGAGAGGAATAACTCTGTGGGTTTGTCAAAATAAATGTACATCCATTTCCATATATGTAGACATTTTATCTATTGTTGTTATAAAAAGACTGACTGATATTATCGTCCGATATTAGCCTATTGTAGACATATCGGTATTGACATATATGTTATCTGATATGCACAGATAAAAAAAAATAATTTAAACTGGTATCTAATGCAAAAAATAAAAATACAAATGCTTGCAATATCATTGGTGTCACTGCAAAGTTTATCCAGCAGAGTGCGCTGTGATTTACAGTACTGTGGCAAACAGCACCGAGTAAGAGAGAAGAGGCAGCTCTCAGTCAACTAGAATTTGTTGACAATGTATATGTTAAATTATTATTATTATTATTAACATCTTAAAGAATATTTAACTTAAATATAATATTACGATTATTTAATAAAGTAATTTGTGAAAGAAAGCAGCTGTCTGAGTACATATCAGTGCGCAATCCAAATAGAAAAGTAGTTTATTTTCATTCCAGCTAACAAGTTCACTATATCAGCTGTCATATTGGTAATTGGCTAATTTTTACCAGTGATCGTATCAGTGTCAAAAATCCCATATTGATCAGGCTCTAGCAGCTTTAAATTACAGCATGATCTACAATATATACTTTACAGAGCCAGCTGCTACTAAAGCAACCCAGACTTGAATAAGTGGCAGAAAATGCAGGGACTTATCGCCATACAGTGTGCAGTTCTGCACACATGTCCACTGTAAGCATACTGTCATTCAGTTTTGCGTCTCCATGTCTGGACCAATGATGGGAGTGATGCACAATAGAGTGCCACTGTGTCAGCCTGACATGCTGACAGAGTGTCTTGACGGGGAGTGAGCCTGCCGTAAGAACCCTTCATGTCTGGGAAACCCAACACTAAATGCGATTACCTGGTCTGTTTGTTTCCATATTGGAAATCACATTATGTTCGCTTCCATTTAGGTTCTTTTACAGTACATGGGATAAATTGCATATGAAAGAAGATCCTCTTTTTATTTCCTCTTCTAAGAGACTAACATTGTTCAATATTATTTTAGTTAACTATTCAGGTTTGCTGTGAAGTAGCCGTAACTTATTTTGTCTTGCAATTTACAGCATTACAGCTCCTAAATATAGATATACTTACTTAAGCAGCAGGCTGGCAGTAGCTGAAAGAGTTAATGAATAGAACTAATAAAATTAATGAATAGAGCTGTGGTAATGACTATTGATAAGCCATATATAGTGTGGCTTGTCAAGACATGCTGGCTTTCAGGGCCCTTCCCTAAGCAGTTTTACCATTACATAAGGAATGTCTAGCAAATTAATCTCCCAAAGCAGACTTCAATCATCAAATTGGCTCTGTGCAGGGAGCTGGGATGGCACACATGCCTCCTGCTGGCATAAGCCACAGGCTGGCAGAACATAATGGAAAGTAAAGTGCTGTATATTGACCAGACAGGCTTGAATTGTGAAACAGTGGCAGCTGCTGATGATTTTCTGTAAGTAAAAGCTGCAATATAGCACCTTCATAATCAGCTTCAGGTTGATGATTAGAAGTTGTTGTGGATAGATTTCAACTTTCTTAGCTGCACAAGGATTTGTCTCAGGGGGCATGGATTGGATGTTGCATTGGTGACATGTTAACAATAACCATAGTTTGATATATAATCAGGAGTGTGTGTGTGTGTGTGTGTGTGTGTGTGTGCGCACGTGTGTGTTCTTTTGTTTCCAGGTGGAAGTTACTGCATCATGCTGTGAGGTTGTGCTGACTTATCATATTAGCAATGCAAATGGGACTGATTTAGACCTTACCTCATACAGTATGATGCACTAATCAAAACTGTCATAAGAACTGTTGAAAGATGCGTCTTCAGAGAAACAGTACCAAAAATAGCAGGCCTTAAGGTAGCAGCTATTATCTATAAATGCCTCAGCAACATTGTGAGAGCCAGAGTGAAGCTGGGTGACCGTCAGACTGAGGCAGAGACAGGGAGAGACTTGTCATGCATCTAGTAATGGATAACCCTGCAACTTAGCTTGCAAAGAGAGAACACAGAGTGCTCGCTTTGTCAGATCGTCAATATGTCTTCAGGAGATGGAGGCAGAGTAGGTTTGGAGTTTAGAAAGAGTTTGCAGATTTGATCCCTGTAAAAGCCAATACGTTCATCAACTTCTGCGCCGTGGCTACACTCCAACTCGCTACACATTGTAGCACTCACAAAATAAGAACACATTTCCCATGAAACCTGCTGCAGATTAGAAGAGGTTATGTAGAAAATTGTTTGAATCTATTTTCAAGAAGGTGCCCAATCATACAGTAACTGTGATGATGATTGAACTTGAGTCCTCAGTGCCAAGGATGTGCACAACGTCAGGCTAAAGTTGCCGGACCAACAGCCCATTTGCTACTTTATCCAATAATTGCTCAAGTTAGACCAAATTAAAATCTGCACATCATCCAAATTTATTTTGTGATAAGCATTTGTCCTTGGGTCACAGAGATGGGGGGCCCTGAACTGTAAAAAACAAACAAAATGCACTATGCTCCTTGTCATGTCACAGTGTAGAATCCAAACTGTAGCTGTTGTGTGGCTCTGGGTCAGTAAAGCTGTGGAAATGATCAACAACAAATGGTATAACCAATGTACGGAGCCCCTAAAGGGACATGGGGCAAAAAATAAAAAATAATTGTTTCTCGTGCTCACCAGATGCAGGCGCAGCCTTCAGCCTGACACTCGTTTGTCCTCCTTTTGAGAAAATAACAAAAAAGGTCACCTTTTGACACATTACCTTGTTAGCTTAATACTTATTGGCTAAAAATGTGTGTCAAAATAAGTAATTTCATTGGTTACATTCATTTTGATATTCAAATGAGCCATGTGTTGATTTGCCACAGTTGCTACCACCAGGCTGTCAATCAAGCTCTCAGCAATGTAAGGTTAGCTAACGTCGGTTGTTGGTTCTACTACTATGGACTTTTATTGTTGAATTTCTCCAAATTATAGAATATAATAATTATTAAATATAATATATTCTCAGCATTATAGTAATTGCGGAGAAACAGCGTATTCACTTCCGGTTTTCAAAATAAAGGTATTAAGAACAATTCGAACCTACATTTAAAATAAAATATGTTACATTAAAGTGTTTCATGGGACAATGATGAATAAAAAACATACTTAATATCAAGCATTTTTACTGCACCAATTTGGAGAAATTCAACAATAAAAGTCCATATTTGTACAACCAACAACCTACATTAGCTAACTTTACATTCTCTGTAGCTGAGAGCTTGATTTACTGCCTGGTGGTAGCAACTGCTGTGAGCTGTGTTGTGGGAATCAACACATATCTCATTTGAATATTAAAATTAGCCATGTGTTGATAGGTCATAACAGAAAATGTAACCAATGAAATTACTTATTTTGACACACATTTTTAGCCAATAAGTATTAAACTAACAAGGAAATGTGTCAAAAGACGGACCTTTTCTGTTATTTTCTCAAAAGGAGGACAAATGAGTGTCCGGCTTGCCTGTATCTCGTGAGCACCAGAAATTATCTCATGAGCAGGAGAAACGTTTCCTTTTTTTTTTTTTTCGGGTCCCTTTAGGGGCTCCGTACCAATGGGATGCCATGTGAATAAAAATCTCCACATGCACTGCAAAATAGAAATCTCAACGTAAAAAAGCCTGGCTTCTGGGAAATGAGTCTTATTCTTTATTTAAGACAACTTCTCAGTTTAAGAGAAATTTGTCTTTTTGTTTAGTTTTTCTGGGGTCATTTCATAGCATTCTTGCTAAATATAAGAATGCATCTGGTGTCTTAATATAAGATGAAGTTACTTATTTGTCTTATGCTGTTTAAATAAATTATGTCTTATTGTAAACAATTTTTTAAATTATTAATCT